GATTCAGAAATCGAGTTTTCTATGCCAATGCCATCTAGCGGTAAACTTCGGAACTATTATTACGAACATTGCTAAAGTTATTGTGTTGCAATAACTAACTATATGACCTATTTTTATAGTCATGGTAGTCTAATAGTTTGTTCTACCACCTTTCAAGCAGAGATTAAGAGTCGTATTCTAGAACTCTACTCAATGCTCAAGTCAGGATTTGAGTATGGTTTAAAGCACTCGAAATCATACTCAAGTCCCTGCCATTAGGGTCGTATTTTCAGTGCTTGTGTTTCAATTGCAATCCTGACTTGAGCATTGAGTAGAGTTCTAGAATACGACCCTAAGAATCTCAAACTTAAATCATTTTCATTTCATAGGTACCTAAGCAAATTACATTTGAAATCATCATATTGACTAAACTCTACTGCTCGTTCGTAAGGCAGATTCTTCTGAGAAGAATGAGTAAGAAACTCTAGGGTTTTGTTTTTGTAAATATGTGCATTTGAATGAATATATTTATCATTTACAATATTTATTTCAAACATAGAATACCTACCTACTAGAGCTAAATCTGTCACTACCACCGATTTTTGTCATCCAAGTACCTACGCAGAAGTTGTTACCTTTAGTACCTATAAAGCTTTTATTTCACAGTAGTTTTAGCCCCGTAAATGGCAAATTTTGAATATACGGTATACCGAAATCTAATTGACGAATCATTACATTGCCTTTAAATGAATTTGTGATTTTGTGAAGACGACTGTCAAGATTATTTTTATAGTGTTTATTTTTATTCCTTGTATTCATGTTGTTTTCATAATAAATATTATTGTTTTTCTTAATATAAATTACGTTTTCATAAATGTACTCAGATGCTAGTGTTCTTACACACACCGTTTAACATTCTTACGTTAATATCTCTAAACTTATTTCTCAAAGACACTCTGAGGCCCAGATTGTAAATTGTCCTAACCGCACCGTTCTGCAGGACAAAAATTGTATTAATATCGGCAGCATTGCTTACCCTAAAGCAAAATGCCGTATGTCATTGAAATGTAAAAGTAGCTGAAGTAAATCAAACAGCGGTTTCTGGACTAGCACCTCTGAGTTTCTTAGAATTTATGTGTGAAATTTAATTTGAAATTTACTATGATCTTTTCGGTGACGGAAATGGCCCAGCAGTGGACTTGGCCAGAGCAACGCCATGAACGTAGTGCCTAGAAAATAAGAAATACAAACTTTCAAACAGTTACGGGCTACATGATGGAACGTCTGTTTGGAAGTTTTTGCGATAAAGATGTATTTTTAACTTTATTAACTGCCTCAGTGGCCAAACGGTTACTGTACTGGACTGCCACGCAGAGGTCCCGGGTTCGAAATATCGAAAATAATCGTAACTGTGGCCTAAATTTATTCTCTAGTGAGTTTGGGTGTAATTTGTGGTTGTCTATGTGTGTGTCCATGGCGCCCGCGATACAGGGTTTCCCTAGTGTAGGGCTGTGAGTGTGTGCGCGTTATCATTATTATTCGCTGCGAATAAGACATTATTATCTTAAGTCTTATCAGTGTATAAAAAAGCTGGCTCGCCTTAACATTCAGCATGGAAAACAGTAGTGCATGCACCAGAAATACTTAGGGGAAAGAAATAGGTAATATCTAACCACACGGGTTTTTAAATTTACTTTAATGTGTGTATGTATTTGAAAATATTTAAAGTCCCTAAAATATTACTTCATTTTTTTCCCGGATGGCGTATCCAATTATGGACTTCTCCTCCTTGACATTTAAAGTTTGATCAAACTCGGTAATTTCTTTGGAGATTCGCAGACGATGTACGAACCAAGATGTTGAGCATAACTTCATATAAAAGGCATTGAGGATCTTCAACTTTTATATTTATAAATAAAGAGCTTTTTGAAGTGTTGACGTCACATTCTTTTTGACATTTGTTCATTTTTAAGAATATTGCGTAAATTTCTTCTTCTTCTAGTGTGTACGCGTGAAATCGTCTTCACTCGCTAGAATGAGTAGCTGGTTAGAGTGCATTACGGGTGGAGAGGAGAAGAGCAGTGAAAAGTGGCAAGTGTTTCTGTTGAGTTGAGCTGAGCAGATCAGAGCTGCATTGAGCCGTGTTCCGATCAGTCAAATTCAATCTCTTGGAGTGATCATACGTCATGTTGTCGGTAAAAATAGAGCAGTGCTTTTATTGGCATCTTTGGTTTCATTGCATTCGTATGTTGTCAGTCGTGTATCCCATAAACATGGAATTTTTTTGACACTTCCACTTAGCTTCTCATCCATTTTACACATTAGTACACACTATGATTTTAGGTAACATAACATGCAACAGTTACGGTTACAACTTCCTAGTGTATACGCGGCTTTAAAAGGCGTATGTGATACATTAGTTTGTTTTGTTTACTTTTTCAAACTCTATTATTTTTAAAAAGGTATTTGAAAACCATTTTTTGAATTTCAAATTAAAATTTGAAACGAATAAGTCGCTAACTGTCAATTAAGCAATTATTGGCATCGTAGATGAATAAATCAATAATAAGAAGGTGGAATGTGTGCCACCATTTTGGAATTAGATTTAGGCCAATTAAGTGATTTGCGTCATGGTTCACTAACTTTTTGGTATATATACGTTTATGTATTTTCATAATCAAAGTTCTCAATATTTCAACTTCACGGAAATATGGCCAAAAGCCAGAAAACGCCATTTCAGATTTATCCACTCGACTGAACATTCTATACTTTGATAGACTTCCGCTTTCGCGCTATTAAATATCCTTTTGGCATAGGTACTCGTACGTCTACCCACTAAAAGGTTTCTGTGACCACTTTCTCGTGTAGAACAATTCTAAATGATAAAATTTACAATTTTGTTGTGCTTTACAAATCACAAGAAAGCACCACTTATTAAATCACACTATATTTTCTTATCATACCTTTCACTTCGTATATTTGTGCCGTTATTCTACTAATAACCATTTTTGTTGTAATAACCATCTAATAACATTTAATCTTACCAATTAGGCGTTCTATATAATGTATAATATATAGAATCGCATGTCACATAGTATAATGCGACAAGTATGCTAATTCCGTACGAACGTAACAGCGCGGCTTGTACGAATATACACATTCACAAAATCTCACGGTGCACTCGCGTTGCATAGCGCAGGTCGTCAAACGCGCGTTCGCTCTGTGTTTCAAATATGACGTCAATCAGTAGACGCGTTTATTGATGTCTTTGTGGTTGTTTGAACAAGAGTGCCTCAAATTCAGAATTGTTCAGCATTTCATGCCTGTTTCATAATCGTACACTATAATCAAGATACACAAATATCAAAACGTAAGTACCTACTACATTTATCAAAGATTATTTCAATACGGCACGAGAATAGTATGATGAACATCTTAATTTTAAAAAACTTATGTTTACAACTTGTAGGCTTGGTATAACTATAACAATAATGTGTAATGTAACCCAACAAGCATTTACACGCTGAACAGGCGGGAGTTGCCCTATTTGCTCTTATTATAATATGATTCTGTTTTCTATCCTTGTAACTATCTTACACATCACAACACCCTTTTACTATTTCTCATTCTGTCTTTAATATCTGTAGTATAAGCACATTCGTGCGGACCACAACAGAGGAACCCCCTCATTTCTACAGCACTGACCCTTTTTTTTCGTTGTTCTTCTTCTGTCATGCTCAACATTCACTACCGTACGTCAGGGTTGGGACACGGTTGGGACACACGGCATGTCCTGATATAAAGCGAGACGTGCTTTTATCGACTTTTACTCTCCGTTCAATATCATCCTCATAATTACCATCTCTTGTTTACAGACAACCTAGACACAAGTTATTTGGTTTGTCTTAGCCCCTCAGCATCAATCGTAATTTCGCATTCTGTGACACTTTCAACCTTCCAATTACCATTTCTTTCGTTTTACTCATATTCACTTTCGTAGCTTTTGTTTGAAAAGCTTCAAGCATAACTGTCAATGTGTTTACAATCTCCTGTAGCTATTCTGCCGACGTGTCTACAATTTTCTGATCGTTGGGGTAAATAAGGCATTTCAAAGTTAAAAAAAATTGCTTTCGTCGTGCGCCTGATGAAGGCACACGCCTGTCCGTAACAGTTGCAGTGCCCCTCAGATCTTTGCGATTTAAAGCTCTGAGTGGCACTGCAACTGTTATGGACAGACGTGTGCCTTACCATCAGGCGAACGACTCGTTCATCCCGTCTTTTGATGTTATAAAAAAAGACATTATATATAGAAAAGTTAGTTTTTTTGCATCGAACCCGGTCAAGGACTGACTCGGGACCTCAGAGATGGCGACACCATGCAAACCGGTGTGCAAGTCACTCTATCAAGTAGGTCGCCTAGGCATAGGTACGTCTACCCACTAAAAGGTTTCTGTGACCACTTTCTCGTGTAGAACAATTCTAAATGATAAAATTTACAATTTTGTTGTGCTTTACAAATCACAAGAAAGCACCACTTATTAAATCACACTATATTTTCTTATCATACCTTTCACATCGTATATTTGTGCCGTTATTCTACTAATAACCATTTTTGCCATTTAATCTTACCAATTAAGCATTCTATATAATGTATAATACATAGAATCGCATGTCACATAGTATAATGCGACAAGTATGCTAATTCCGTACGAACGTAACAGCGCGGCTTGTACGAACATACACATTCACAAAATCTCACGGTGCACTCGCGTGCAAAACCGGTGTGCAAGTCACTCTATCAAGTAGGTCGCCTTGTAAAAATAGTCGTCAAATGTATAAATGGTTATGTTTTTTGTTTTCCAGTTAAAATGGTATTGTCGGACCTTTATGTTACATTCCATAATGGTTGCTGGAATGTGTGTGAACTGCTATTTTAAATTTTGGTGACAAATACCTAAAAAATAAAAATTCAAAACCACGGAGACAGTTCGTTAAGACCGTGGAGCATTATTAGCACTTACCTTTTCTTAACAACAGCTATAAGAATGATGTGTTGAGTGTTCTTCGTTCCTCTTATTGCTCTGAAACAAACAAAACATATTATCACTAAAATTATTTTAGCCTAGGGTGTGACATTGAATGTCACGATGTTAATTTTTTCAAATTATGTTATTATAATAAATAGATATTATTTGTGTACTTGCTGTAGAGGATAATAATGGTTTCGTTATGCAGTGGAAAGTTATTTACTGCGGACATTCTAACTGAAGTATTGAGAGGACAACCGCCAGGAAATTGCCTAGTGGGACGACCCGGGTATTGACGGAGCAACGAAGTTCAAAACATCGCAGCGCCCTCAAGGGAACCCAAGAGCGTGAAGTGACGCAGAAAATGCAGAGTGGCGATTTAGGTTCTCGTGGAGTAGTTGAGATAGGGAGAATACTTATATCTACTAGCATAGAACGTTACATTTTGCGAGCTTTTTATAAAAACAAACGCTTGTTTTTAATTAAGCCGAAACTGGCAAGATTTACAACACGAAAACAAATAAATTAAGGCTTTAGGCAAGAGGGTCCCCGTCCTGCCTGTGGATTCTGGATTGATTCATGGCTTCGGCCTTAGAGGATTTCACTCTTATAAAAATTTGGTGTAAAAATAATAAAGTACGTTGATAAACTCGTAATAAAGTACTGTAATTATTTTATATTTTCTTAAATTTTTACAGCTCACAAAAAGCAAAAAATTCTTTAAATGTTAAGACAGGAAAGTATGATATAGACATAGATTTAACCCTTTCATCGTCATGGACGCTTTAATTCAGGTTACATTAACTTGGTTGATACGCCTACGACGCCTTAAAGCGTCAATCAAACCCTTTCTATCTCAATTGAAATCAATACACAAATGTTAAGATCCATGTGTTATTTGTATATTCTAGTAAAGTATGGATTCATAGTTGCATTTTATGTTTTTTCAGTTTTTTTTAGGTTTTTGTCAGTGGCGGTCAAAAGGTTTATTATATAAATTAAGAAGCTATGGTAGCCTAATGGCCTCTCAAGCGGAAGCAGTGGGTGCGAATTTGGGCTCTGGGTTTTTTGAGAATTGATGTGCGAAATTTAATTTCAAATTTACCATGAGTTTTTCGGTGAAGGAAAACATCGTTAGGACGTGTCAAGTCAACCGTGTTCATGGGAGCTGTAAAACGCCCGAAACTTTGGTTTGTTTGAAAAACAAATATACGCGATTTAAATCCGGAAAAACAGTTTCATTTCCTATATGATACCACTGTCAATCGGAGCACTTGCCATGGGTTTATGGGCTAAAAATAAACTTCAGCCAACATATTTTCATGTAGATCTGACGACTTCCATAGTCGCGTGTCGTGTACACCGGTTTTCATGGTATCCGGCCATCCCTGAATTCCCAGGTTCGGTCCCCAGCCGGGTCAATGAAGAAAACTAACTTTTCTATATTGTTTCAGGTCTGGGTGTTTTGTGGTACCTTGCGTTGTTGTAACCCATTTTCATTAACAAAAGTGCTTTAATTATTAATACAAAGATCGAATACTTAGAAAACGTTTCTTCGATCCGGCCAGATTCGAACCGACGTCTAGCAAACCGCGCCAGACGCTATGCCACTAAGTTACGGAACGAACCAGCGGACTTTACGAATTTTTCTATGTGCTAGTTCTCGGATCTTTGTATTTGGTTTTCAACGACTTTTTAGCCGTAGCGCCATCTATGAGAAATATATGAAAGTATTTCGTCACCCAGTTAGGTGCCTTTACAGCTACCAGCCAGCAAAGCTCTGAGTGGTACTGCAACTGTTATAGTCAGGCGTATTGCTTACCATCAGGCACTTGACTTGTTCGTCCCGTCGCTTGATATTACAAAAACAAAAGATTATTTTTAGTATAGATTTAAGTGTGTAAAGTGAGTCAATTGATTGATAAATGTTTTTCGTTCTTTCATAAGAAAGATTCCGTGTTGTGTATTTTCAATCAATGAATTACTGAAATCATGAAATATTCTTCAATTTGCAAGGAAAATACGAGAACCTTCCAGTGCCTGTATTTCTGATGCCTTTGTAGAGATTATGAATCGGTGCGATGACTATTAATAAAATAAAAGACCTTTTCTGGGAAGTTTGTGTTACAGAAGCTGTATTGATATTTGTGATGAAAAGCGGTATCAAATATCAAATCAGTTCCATAGCCAAAACACGTGAATCAAGGAGATATTTTCATAAATTGGTAAGTTATATGTTTGTAAACAATTACCAACTTAAGAAAAAGGGCATATAATATGATGTCCTTACAACTTAGGACTTCATTAAAAATAAATTGGTAACACGGAATACGTAAGTTCTCTAAGTGAACAAGAAAGAAGAAGAGTTTCAGGGTCTTTAAATTTAGAGAAGTTCTTTCTTATCAACGTCTCTTTTAATTTAATTATGTAGCTTAAATGTATATAGGAGTAATTTGTAACTTCCTTCTCCTTATCTTCCTTTTAAATTTTGTTGTTTTGACTTTTTACTTTTGCTTACTAAAACCATGATTTTAAAAGTAAACCTTGGTATGACTTGCATTGTCAATGTTTTCACTACATATTTATTGTGTTAAAAATGTAGTAGGCTTTCATATTTACAAAATACAGATTCAACTGAACCAGAGATTGGCAAGCGCCCTGGTTTTAACCCGGCGCTATGTTAATGCCTATATACGCTGTGGATTTAAATTGGGTTAAAATTCATTAACGCCGAAAATCGAGGGCAAAATACAACTTAATATTTGTTGTAAATCGAGCTTTGTTGAAATTTAATGATATCACAAACTTTTTTTTATTATTTTTTGATCTAGACGATTTGATTGCCTTTCTATGGAATCGGCTCGCTTGAAAATCGCGTTGAAATGAATCGATACCAAAAATCGTTACATCTTATAAACTTGAATCGATTTTCGTATAAAGCGAATCGTAGTGTGCGGTCTCGGTAGTGATAATCACAGCCACAAGATAGCAAGGTGGGTATTGTGTGGAGTTATCTCTTTTTCATCTAAAACATTGGTTTATGTGACTGTTACATAATGCAAGGTATTAAAATACGAGTTTGGGTTTATGAAACGAGTTGACAGGCGGGTTTCATAAAAACATCACACGAGTATTTTAATGCCTAATTATGTACAGTTACATACACTGCTTTATCTACACACATACATAGGGCGCACTATGAGTTTCTGGAACTGGCCACTTACATAAACAATTTTTAAAAAGAAATTACAACATTTGAAAAAGGAACTCGTTGGCTGTAAAATACAGTTTGTTTCATGTAACTGTCACTTGTTTTTACATTAAGGCGTCATTTTAGAAATTGGTTGTCTACATCACCATGGATGTAACTCGTGAAAATTTTCGTAGTATGAATTTCTACGACTTTAATTGTAGTGTAATTTAACAGCTCAGCGGAGCTTCGGTCGCCTTCAAACTGCTTTTGGCGATGAAGCACCATGCAAGACGACTATTTGTAGCTGGTTCGCAGAATTAAAACGCGATCGTGTGAATCTCAGTGACGAATTTCATGATGGTCGCCCGTCCACTAACTGCGAACAAAAAAAAAATCGATGCTGTGCGCCGTGTGATCAAAACAGACAGGCATGTGACATACCATGAAATTTATTTCTTTACATGAGTCAAATACAATCACTACCTACTACCCAAACATTTGGGTGTGAAACAGCTATGCTCTCGGTGGATCCCACACAATTTGACTGAGGCTCAAAAAACGGATTGCGTCACTTGGTGCAATGCCATGCTTACCAGATTCAACGAAGGAGCGTCAAATTTGGTGTGGGACATACTAACAGGTGACGAAACATGGATTTATAGTTACGATTCTAAAACAAAGCAACAATCGAGCATATGGGTCTTTCGAGATGAGCCGAAACCAACCAAAGTGGCGCGCGTGTAAAGTGCCTCTAAGCGGATGATTGCTTCTTTTTTTCATAAAACTGCACACGTGGCTATTGTTGTTTTCGAGAATCGTTGTACTGTGAATAGTGATTGGTACACGACCATTTGTTTACCGGAAGTAATTGACAAACTGCGTAAAAATAACCGTAAACGCCGTATAATCTTGCACCACGATAGTGCCAGTTCTCACACGGCCAGACAGACAAATGAATTTTCGAAGATGAACAACATTGACCTTATGAGCCATCCTGCGTGCAGTCCCGACATCGCACTTTGTGACTTTTATTTATGTCCAAAAATTAAGGACAAGTTACGCGGTCAACGATTTTCGTCACCTGAAGAGGCTGTCGAAGAGTATGAAAAATATGTTTCAGAGATTGTCACGGAGGCGTAGCATAAATGTTTTCAGAATTGGTTCACTCGTATGAAAAAGAGCATTAACGCTAACGGAGAATATTTTGGGAAACAATAAATTCATTTCTGACCGTTTATAGTATTTTTTTTCTTATTCGTTCCGGAAACTTATAGTGCGCCCGACGTTTTAAGCTCTATATGATGTGTTCAGGAATCGCATTTTACGACTGGTGAAATGGCGACAAATAAAAACTTTTATTTAATTCATAGACAAACCAGAGTCGACCTTAACTATCATATCGTCCGATTTCAAGCTTAGAGGATGGAAAAATATAAAGGAAAGGAGCTGCCCTATCTATGGAATAAACGTACCTACCTAAATAAAAAATGTCCACCACTAATGTGGTTTAGTGTTATACCATCATCATAGATAAGTCAATATCGACATGCAAATGTATGGCTTGAATGTTGTGGTTGAAGGTTGTGTTGTGTGTGTACTAGGCTATTGTTACTAGGCAAGTAATGAGCCATATCAATCAAAATTAAATATAAAGTTATTAACCAATAAATGTAACGATGGAATTACATTATCGTGTAATCTAGTTACATTCAAAGTTCTATTAAAATTTGAATTCAAAATGGAGCGAACAAACGAAGATGGTATTTGATCCAATGTTTATGTTCGGCAGTCCTATAATTTCCAACCATTCTTACTTTCTTTTTTCATTTGTAGGTAAACTTTAAAAATAATAATAATTAAA